TTTCCACCTCCTGTCTTTTATCTGGATCTTGGTAGCATTGTTGCTGGTGTTTTTGTTTCCGTTTGACTGGAGAACTAGGAGCAGCTGTGAGGGGAGGTGGAGACTGCAGTGCAGGTGCCTTTTAAAGCACCCTGCAGACCTACTTCCTTGTAGGCAAGAGGGCCAAGTGGGGGTTAACCCCTTCAAGACTGGAGGACTGGAAAGGGCCCAAAGCCCCAGTGATGGGGCTTAAACCCCAGTCCTGCTATGGCTGTCAAGGAGCTAGGGCTGAAATAAGTGGGTCTATGGCAGAAGGTAGCAGCTAGAGTAAGTCGGTCTGGACCAAGAGTCAGGATCTAGACTAGTATAAAATAGTGGAGCCATAAGAAAACACTGCTCTAAGGTTCAGGACACCTCCTGCATAATTGGTTGTTCCTTGAAGGTTTAGCAGTGAGATACAGGGTGGTGGTTTGGAAGAGCTGGAGTGGGGCAGGCTAACTGACTGCTGGGTGTTACTACTGCCTGGCAGGGCTAGTCCTGCCACACCCAGACCTCTGGAACTTAGCCAGAGTCCATGGTTTTTCCCTGCCTTTGCCCCCTCCCTCCTGCCCCCTCTTTTTTTGGGCCTTCCAAAAATAGGGTGCCACTTATATTCAGGGGTGTTATATGCGAGAAAATATGGTATTTTTTGGTTGAACATCAACACTCTGCTCTGGGTTATAATCGGAAGTCAGAGAAGACAGGCCCTTTCATCACGTTGCTTTGCCCAGTGCAACTGCAAGGAAAAGCAGTATACATTGATTAGACGGATGTCTGCCTCATATACTTTGGTGACATTATTGAAGGAGGTTCTTTGGCTTAGAGATCAGGCTAGAATCATTAGATCGGTAAGCAACATGGGGGATCCAGCCAGCAGCTGGACTCCATTTCCCAGTAGCCCCTGCCCACATGGCTGGGGCCAGTCTCCATGGAGACCCGAGCTTCAGCTGTCTGTGATAGTGTAAAGCTGGAGTTGCCATGGAAGCTGGCCCCAGCTGCACTGGCAGTGCATATGGCAGGGCAGGGGGCTGCTCTGGAGACCTGGGATCTTGTGGCAGGGGCAGCTTGGTCCAGGGCCAGGGCAGAGCCGTGATCTACAGCCTGCACACTCAGGGTAGGAGCGTGCAGGCAGCAGATTGCAGTTCTGCCCCTGCTCCAGACCAGGCTGTCACTGCTGCAAGGAGCTGGGGCAAAGCCATGATCTGCTGCCTGTGTACCCCTGCCTGGAGCGTGCAGACTGCAGATCGCAGTTCTGACCTGGCACTGGAAGAAGCTGCTGC